ATGATGATTTTGAACACTGATGACAATTTGCAAAGTGACACTTTTTTCCCAGGTATTTATTATTCACAACCAACTGGTATGACATAATAGATATTTATGTATCAAGGGTACTAAGTAGATGATTATGCCCTGAGGGCGACAGCCTTACAAAGCCGAGGGCCTCTGGCCCGAGGGTTCGTAAGTCGCCCGAGGGTATATATCTATTAGGGTATGAACCCATAAGCTTTTTTGAGTAATGATTGATAACGATTTGCAAAAGCTAAAGGTTTGGTGTGATACAAACCTACTTTGTTTTAATGTGTCCAAAACAAACATTATGACCTCAATTGAGTAACAGGTTGGCAGCTGGTTGCTTTGCGATAAGGGTTGTATGTAATGAGCTTAGTACCTCGACTGCTAAAATGGTGTATTTCTCCTTGTTCGAGTCTCATGTACGGTATGGTATTGCTTTTTGGGGATTCACAAACGGGCAGTTGCTGAATTCTATATTCGTTCTGCAAAAAAGGGCAGTGCGGTATTTGTGTAGAGCCAAAAACCGTGCACACTGTCAGCCTTTGTTTAAAAAAGAAAAAATATTGACTGTGCCTTCTTTGTTTATTTTAGAAACTATTTGTCTCATACATAAAAAATATTGTGGTCTAGAACCTGAGGAGGTAAGGTACAATACCAGAACACACACTAATAATAACTTACGTTTACCAATTCCAAAATCTACTCTGACTAAACATTCTATATTCTTTGAAAGCAAAAAAATTTTCAATCACCTCAGTAATGATTTGAAATCAGTATCGGACTATACCCAATTTCGAACGAATGCTAAGAGTATGTTATTGGAGAAAGCATTCTACAGCTTGGAGGAATATTATGGTGATGTTTTATGATTGTCTTGTTTTTTATTTTTTATAGACCTATACACATATTTACAATTTTTTATGTTTTGTGTTTTGATTTGTTTCTTTTATATTATTTCAATTTATTTATTACATTTTAATTAGTCATTCTTTGGCCTTATGTTTATTTTAGGAATTTTAAGATTTTTATGTGATTTTGTGTAATTCGTATAACTATTAATGTAGATTAGTATATAAATTAGTATATTATATTATCCGCTTTGTCAGTAAAGATTTATATTTTTTGGACAATAAAGCATAATGAGTATGAGTATGAGTATGAGTATCCGAGGTGCATACAAATTTTTATGTCATACCAGGGGGACTATATTTGAAATCGATGCAACTTTGCGTACACGCAAACGACGTCATTTGCGGAGTAATTGTCAACCTGATGTTTAGAATGGTACATTATGCCCGCGCGGGCCAGAATGTGTACTTTATGCCCGCACGGGCATAAAGTGATGAATTATGTAGATGATATCTAGGTATAAAAAGACAATAATGTACTGGTATGACATAAAAATTTGTATGCACCACGGGTACTAATAGATATAATACCCTCGGGCGACTTTCGGGCCAGAGGCCCTCGGCTTTGTAAGACTGTCGCCCTCAGGGCATAATCATCTACTTAGTACCCTTGATACATAAATAACTATTTTTCAATTTCCCACCCTATCAAGAGTGAGGGGGTAGTCACTTGCGATTTTCTAGGACAGAAAATCTCCATGGTTATCCTTTGTATCTCCGGGCAATCCTGGGATGTTCAGGCATACACTTAGATCTCCATGGAGATCATTTGGATTTCTATGGATCTCCGTGTATCTAGTCTGGACCTTCATATACATTAGTAGTTTTTCAATTTTATATGGAATTAGATTAGTGTCGGCAAAAATCTGGCTAAATGGTTGATGTTTTTGATAGATATTTTTTGATTTTGATATATACCCATTTTTATGTTTAAAAACCTATTGTTTTCGAATAGATAAGATAAGTAACTACAGAGGTACCATCGTCACCAAAAGTAACTGGGACAGCATCATGTTAGCTCTTGTAGTATTATATGATTTTAGGTGTCAAATATTTGTCAAATTATGAATTAAATGCATTGAAATGAATGACAGTAGACTTAGTCCAGGAGATTAATATGAATTATTTTTGTCCCAGATACTTTTGATGACGATGGTACCTATCAAAGAGCGCTTAAGAACATCTGGAAGATTTCTGATAACTTCTAGAACATTCCAGCGCTTCAGAATCATTAGGAAACCAATTATAAACTTTGGAAAGTATAAGAATACGCTAGCGGCAAGTTAGAACATTTTTAAACATTTCAAGACGCGCTAGAGCAATTAAGAATTTTGATAAGCATCAGAAGATTTACCATTCAATTTTCAATCCTCCTGCATTTGTTTGAGACAAACTGGAATCTTTAAGAACATTGTAAAACGTTATAGAACACTTTACAACCAATTTAGAATTTGAGAGATATTCTAGAACAACTTCTGAAGTTTCAGCAACATTTAAGAAAGCTTTTGGAACACTTTACAATTCATATATGGAACCTTTGGAAACAATCTAGAACTTAAAACTTCCACGAACATATTAGAACACTCTAAAACCCTTTTGAACTTTTTTTGAATTTCAATTAGAACTGCCAAAAAGCACTTTAGAATAGTTTGGAAATTTCTGACAAATTCTAGAACATTATGGTGCTTCAGAATGCGCTTGTGCCAATTTGGAACATTTTCGAGTATTTTGAGACGCTCTAGAGCAGTTAAGAATAAATTTGGAACTTTGATAAGCTTCAGAGATTTTAAATCCAATTCTCAATCCTCCTGCATTTGTTTGAGACAAATTGGAACTTTCAAGAACATTGTAAAACGCTACGGAGTTCTTTAGAATCAAATTAGAATTTCTGAAACATTCTAGAACGACCAGAATACTTCCGAACTTTCAGGAACATTCACGGAAGCTTGAGATGCTTTAGAGTTTACGATTAAATTGAAGTTGAATTTTCAAGCAGTATTTTGGAACGCTCTAGAACACTCTACAAATAGGGAACTTTTGAAACAATCTAAAACTGGAAACTGACACTATATGGAAATACCGGAGGAAATACCCATCAAAAATCCATCCAAAAATCAAAGTAGAGAAAATTGTTTGCCAACTCTGAATTAGATCTAGTGGCAGTTTGATATGAATAACAATTTAATAAAACTTTCTAGAGGAAGTAAGTAGACAATTATGAATGGTATGTAATACCAATACTAGTACTTAGGTACCACATGGCAGAAAATAGATTATTACTGTCGAGGGACTGTATCGTAAACTAACTCAGTATTATTTCACCCCTGGAGAAACAACATTTGAGCATGAAATTGATGTTTTCATTCTCCCCCATCCACGTATCTCCACATATCCCCACCAAATCTCCATGTATCTCTACGGTTATCCTTGGATCTTTACAGATCTCCGATCTCCATATATCTCCACGGATCTCTATGGAATCACCATCCCATAAGACAGAAGATTTCCACAGTGACTACCCCCCACTGATTACCCCCTCGATGAAGACATGAATTATTCAAACTTCTTTTTATCTCAAATATTTCTAAACTTGGTTATTTTTTCAATGTTCTTCGTTCTTACACGTCATTGCTTTTAGGAAATCAAAGGTAAAACCACAGCTTAACCATCAAGCAAAATAAAATATTCATGAGGCTGTATTTAGAAAAATAAAGCTGATGATACTCGGCCACAGGCGAAACGTCTTTCAAATATAAAATAAATAAAGGTCATATCGAAAGGTTTTGTTTACAGAATGTATTGTCACTGATAAGTTATCTAACATAAACGTTGAATGTTAAATATTTCCCGTAATTTCCCCTTTAAATTTCCTCTCTAATAATTCTTCCTGCTTATTCGGTTTTCTCCAAACTTCTTGAATAATTTCTCAAAGTTTTTCTATCTCAACTGCTCTTCTTTGGGTAAAGGTAAAATCTTCTCAATTGGTTGAACTCTCAAACTGTCCCAGGGAACGTAGGAATTTTCAAAACAAGCAATATTAAACCTCAAAGATTTTTCTAGTTTATGAATTTGATTCAACATTATTTATATTTAAATTAAATTATCAGTCTCTCCGAGAAAGTTTGTATGCAAAATTTAAAAGGCAATTTCCTTGGCAATACCTGTACATTTTTTCTTCGAATTATGTGCAATAATCATTTTCTTAAGTTCAAAAAAGTGCTTTTTGGCAATGACTGTGAGATCAATGTCTATGATATTTTCAATGGCATATTGTAATAAGCCGGATTAAGAATACTTTATTGAACAAAACTGCACTGTTTTATAAGCTGCTTAAATTGCTCCAAAAAATTCATGTTATATTTTGGAACGGACTATAGTGCGAAGATGAAAGAAGAGACACAAAAACGGTTGGGCTTTCGGTACGGGCATCAGACCAAATAAAAAAGATATGAGGTAGGTAGTAGGATGGCGTATTCGACTACTCATTAAAATTGTTGTGAAACGAGTTTACAATGAAATAAGAGATGCCGTCGTACAGGCATACAAGTTTCATAAAGAGGGACGACTGAGAAAAATAAATGCCCAGGATAAAATATGCCACATAAAGGCAAGCGGCACAGAGAGAGGAGATCCTGGCAGCAAATCGAGAAATCGATAGGAAATCAGCAGGCTGGGCCCATAACGGCCGAAGGGGAGTGTGTAACTGTAATCTGCTTTTGTTCTTTATTATAATATACAGTTTTCCATAATATTTATGCGGTAGGAATACCGCACCTATATTTTCGTACACACATCATTTTAATCAGAAATATGGGGATACTTATCTTTGTTGTTTTTACATAAATTGCGTTCAATTTAATCTAAATCCATATTGTAAGTTTTATAGAATATCTAAGCTAACACCCATTTTTAATTTATTTTACTTATATCAGCTTTGTGTATGATTGAAACAACTTGGAAAAATGACATGGATATTCAAATTTTAGCTTAAACATGTAAGATGCATGCTAACAATCCCTTATTTATAATATACCTATGTATAAACTTTATTCTGATTTGCTGTTTTTTTGTTTGTTCCAGTTTCAACTTGGATACTGCAACACTTATTTAGTTCCAGATGCAGTCTTCAAGGATGTTTATATTCAGGTAAGATTTTCTACTGTACCAATGTATTAAGACTTTTCATGCTAAAAACTAATACAAAAGTTGATTGCTATATATTTTTTTTACACTCTCCCCCAAAGTGGTTTTTTCATTACTCATTCGTCTCTGTAAATGCTGACAAACCTTCTACTGCCCCTATAGTCTGCAAATAGAGTAGAAGTTTGGTTTTATTTCATTGAAAAATCGATGCACCCACACACACAATATATTCTGCCTTTCCTCTAAATTGTTTATTATTCAGCCATGTAATCTCCAGCTCTTTGTTCATACTTGACCAAATTAAAGTCTACTGGATGAGAATCACAAGTGAATGCAGTTGGAGAAAATAAGTCTCCAATCTCTAATTTTAAATCTAAAGGTAATCAGTAATGTGTCGCACATATACGCTTATGTAAGCTTGGAGAATATGATTTATCGAGTATAATCAAACGTTTCTAGAGACGTATCAAAATGGTACAAGGTTGCCCAGGGATTTTGCAGGATTTATGGCCTAAAGACCTTATAACAACAAACCCTCAGTCAAGTCATCCACAGCTATGAGAAGATATTTCAACCGAATGACAAGTTTAGTTTTCCTAACGCCTTGCACCATGATCTTGGAATTTTAATAACCAGTGACTTAGAATGGAAATCACACATGTCAAAAATTTGATTTATTTTTGTATTGTATGCAGAAAGCTTTCTATAACAGAAGATATTCAAGCTTTTCAGTCATTTAACGAACCTAAGATTAAAAATATAGAATCCCTACTTTGTGGGGGATATTCACAAAAGTTGCATCTGATTTTGATAACTTTGACTATCGACAAAAGGCTGAAAGGAGACTTACATAGTAGTGTTTTTCAGATTTCTACATGACACCAAAGTACCAGGATATGTCCCATCAAAATTCAAACCTTTACTTTAGGTACTGCGCATAATAAAAGCATCATTGAAAATGTTGTAAAACAATAATCGTCTCTGGCCAATGCCAAGCAATAATTTCCATCTGTGCCACTATAATTACTTCTAATCGTGCTCTTCTTGTCACCACGACTAACACATATGTGAATTTGTCTGGAAGGCTATTTATAGGTGGGTACATACTTTCACACTCGTTTGCTCTCCAAACTTTTAGCGAAATTAATCTCCATTGAGCGTACGTTAATGTTCTCCGTACATTCCTCAATTATTCAAACTTATTTCAGTGAGTAAAGTGGCCTTTTTCTTGGCTATGCATATTAAAGTTTTATTGTCTTTGTTCCATATTGCATTATGAGGCTTATTGTATACAGGGAATAGAAATATTTTTTTGTGATTTAAAATAGTCGCATATCCCCTTTTTTGAAAGCTAATTCTAGACTTGAGAATTAAATGCAAATAGTATATCAAACCTAATAAATAGACAATTAAAATGCATTGAATCAGTTTGTCGTTTGGCTGGTTATAATTGAAAATACAGTCACATCGCATATTATGGTTATTATACCTGAATCGACCGGTTTCGAAGCTTTTTAACTGTGTGTAGTCAGTTCAGTGCATTGTTTAAAGGACCAAAGATGCATGCAGGGTCCCGCGCGCCATTAATCCGTGCAGTTTTCGAATAGCTAGGAGCCACCGCCAGGGTCCTGAAGAGAGAGAAATCATTTTTCTAAGGAGAGATGTGTTTTATTCCGTGCGCTGGGCTGCTGCCTGTGAGACATAATCCCATCCCATCTCGTGCCTGAGGCTGCTTTTAAAAGCTATAAACAGAAACGATCAATAAGAGGTTTTCTGTCGAGCTTTGTGCTTTTCGGATCCCCGTCCACCATCAAGGCAATGCTGCCAGTTACAAATCAGTAGAAAGGAATCGAACAGCGATAATGGCGAATTGATATTACAAATGTTTTAGGTAACCGCAGTGTGATACTGATATGGACAAATCGCCTAATCTCTACTTAATTGTTATTGCAAATTGTAGTTATCAAGGTTATAAATACTCTATTTGAAAATTGTGCATTGTTGTGCAATGTTACCCTTTTCCCAATATTTTGTTTCAAGTTGCAAGCCCATTTCTCAAATAGAATTCAAGATAGTGAGGAGTAGGATTTTCAAAATGATTCCTGATAATGAACTTTGAATCGGTTCCTGAGCTCCCTGAGCTTAACCTGACAATAATGATTGTATAAACAACCATAGTTCGAGCAGTGAAATTATTGAGAGGAAAATTACTAACATTTACCAAGCAAGCCTTGTAAGAAGTCTTAAACTTCAACAAAAAATAATGCAGTAAAGGAAGAAAATTCGGAGCTAATCGAAACACAAGTTTTTTCAGAGACAACAAAATCGACCAGAGGACAAATCTTAGCAAATTCTAAAATCTTTTGGCCAAGGAAAGCGACTTTTCGCTATTAAGTCCAAAACCAAAAAAAAAAAAAACGCCCATTTTCCATTAAACCGGAAGGGAGGCACGCCAAAACACAGACATCCAACTTGAGATTTTTGGGTTTTAGTGTTCCTCCAACGATTTATTTAAATATTGCTTGGAGCAGCTTTTTGAACATTATTGCAGAGTTTCAGGTTGACAGTAATGAAATTTTAAGAATCGATAATTCGAAGATACCTAAATATTCCGGGCCTTTCAATTTCCCTAAAACCTTCCCTTGAATATCCCACAGTATTTTCTGTTTTACTTGTTTGGAATTGGCTTTAGAATTAGAAAAATCGTAACAAAACAATTAAAAACCTTTGAAATTGAAAATAATACCTAACTTATTGATTGGTTTGGTTGAATCCGTTGAAATAAAGTCCAAATTTAAAATAATCGGTTCTAAAAAATGCCACTTTAATAACTGAAAAATTTAAAAGAGACATTCAAATTATGTAGTAGCCACCTTGACTTTTATAGTTTCGAAAATAATTAGGTATAATTTATGCATTTATTACCTGATCTCAGACCATTATCTGGTTAATGTATTTTATGTTTCATTTCAGACCCAACCAGATCTACATATTACTCACTGAATAAGGTAAGATGAACATTTAATATTTTGGTTATTGATTACCCTTTCCTGAGAACAAATAGATCTGTAATGTGTCTCCAGGCCTCCAATGAAGAGTGTTAATTTCCGCTTTCAATTCTTGCTAAAAGACACTTGCACTAATGTTAAATTGCAAATTTATGCAAATTCCTATTCTTAGCTAGCGGAGTCGAGGACGTAGACGACCGATCATGACCTCTAGCTGCTGAGGTGTGGAATAATAGAAATGAGGTAATTTTGTCGCTTTCTTAGGTAAATTTTGCTATTCTTGGTCAATAGATAACAGAAAACAATGAATTTGAGCTTCAACTAATAACCGTGGATTTGTTAGGAGATAAAAATCATCAATAGTGAATTTTCTAATGCATCTTGATTTGGAGAGCTTTGCAGCAAGATTTAGGAAGTTATCAGTTTCAATTATCATCGATAACAGGTCATTTGTTTTTTACGCTTGTCAATTTCTTTTCTACATACAGTTCCACAATTATTTTTATTTTTTTTTCAATTGATACCTTCCTATTTCTACTTTTCTCTTCAATTTTACGTCTTACACTCGTTCACACTTGCTCCTTTCAAAAAATAAACTATGTCAGACTTCTCATTCCCACTTGTATAATAATATGCGATTTTTTATTAATTTGTTTAAACAGTAGTCTATTTCCAGTAATTCCCCAATATAATTTCGTTCTTATCCTCCTTGTTCTCCCAGAAGCTATTTAAGTTCTGCATTTTTGTTCTCTTCTCAGATAATCCAATATTATTATTTTGCTATCAGTGTCTATTTCCTTTTCTATCTTCACTATTCTTTTATATTCTTCATCTTTTACAGCCTTTCGTTAGTAATTTTTTCTTTGTCCACATAGTTTATTTCCTTTTCTTATCGCCGTCCTGCTGTTTTCTACTTCTGACCAGTGTCGATCCTTTTCCTAAGTTCGGTTTAAGTAATTTCTCTCGCAGTTGATTCCTTCAATATTCTATTTCGTAACTTAATTACGCTTTGTCTTAAAAGCTGCCCACAAGGTGGTATCAATACTAGACTAAGCCGGAAAAACTGCTAAACTACGCCGATGATCTGGCGGAAATTACCAGAGTCAAGCATGAAGGCATAATAACAGGCCGAATACAAAGTGCCTTGAATATAATCAAAAACTGGAGCGAGAAAGGACTCAGCATGTCAGGCCCATTGTCACCTACGCCTTGTTGGTATGGTGGCCAAAGACTGAGCTAACTACTGCACAGAACAGTCTACGTAAAATCCAAAGGCTAATCTGTCCAGGAACAACAGGGGATATGTCAACCTGCCCCACCGCAGGCTTAGAGGCACCTCTGAACATGCCTCCTTTTCACCTATATGTGAAAAAAAAGCAAGAATAGATGCCTATTGACTATTCCAAACAAAAAGATTTAAACCTTTTGTTTGGAACCAGCCCTTGACGAAATAATGGAAAGAGAAAGACCTTCAGAAAATATTTTGCTGTTTGAAGTGAAGGAACATGATAGCCAAAGCAAAGGAGAGAGAATTAAAGCTGAACTAATATTCTGCAGCAGATACCTAGGTGTAAAGGTATCTTACAGTAACATGAGTCCACATAGACAAGGAAAATACCACACAGAAAAGGTGAGATCTATTAAAGTAACCTTCACATCCAAAGATCATGCAAAAAAAGCATCGAGACAAAAATCAAACTAGACAACACTGTTGGAGACTACTTGAAGAGTGACGAATTTCAAATGCAGACAAAATTTTTAGCAAAATCTCTTAGCTGAAATTATAAGAAGAAATGATCAAGGTGAAAATGACATAAAGATTAAATACATGCATAAACTTCATACCCAAAATTGTTAAAGGACAATCAAAAAACTGAAAACATCCCTAATTGAAGTCTCTCTGTGGTATAGCAATCTGTGTTTTATGAGAAACAAGATTGATAAACTTAAGGTAAGCATACGAAACACCATCGTATGCATAATTCTAATCACCGG